GAACCACCGTTGTCTGACTACCACCATCTCTGGACCATCACAGTACATCCATCAAAGCTGCCAAACCACTGTTGTGTGGCCACCATCATCGTTAACGACATCTGGTTGCCACTGTTGAATCACCATCATCTGGTTATCGTCGTCGTCTGACAATCGCTACTCTGACACCACCATCTTTATCACACGACCACCATTATGTGGCCATCACAACCATTGGAATACTGTCGTTTGGCTACCTTCTCTGTCAGACTGCCACTAGTTAATCACCATCATCGCCACCAGACCACCGCTGCCATGTCACCACTGCAGTCGAGGCTAGACCATCGCCATCTAGTTAGTGTCGTCGTTAGACCACCATCATCGTTGCTGCTAGATCACTGCCGCTTCCTGACCAACACCATCGCTGCCACCTAGCCATCATCGTCCGGTCATCCTCGCTACATGATCACCGTTGTCTGACCTTCATCATTGTTGCCGCCAGACCATTGTCGTAATAGCACCCCACTTTCCTAATATATTACACCATTCCATTAGCGAAAGTCACATCGATAACTCCCACTCGCGTAATAATACTTCTAGCTAGTCAATGACCAATAAAGTCTTGTAACTAACATCAGCATAGTAAAATAATTTTAACTGAGTTAGGGCCAAGTTTTTTATGTAAGAACTTATGTTGTTCTCTTTGACAATTTTTTTTATCTATATGTGCATCTAATCTTCATAGAACTTCAGGACATTAATGCATCACTTTATTGCTAAGAATTTACTGGCTCACTGCAATACTAAACAAAAAGACAATTTTCTTTGATATAAAACAATCAAATTATGTATCTTCCAATCAATTCTCAACTTTAACTTATAGATGATTGAACCATATTTATCATGTCTTGTCTATATATATATATATATATATATATGATCACATATATATATATATATATATACACATATAGATATTGTATACGCCAAAACAGCTAGCACAAATTTTGAAGCAATCAGACCACCAAGTACAACAACTAGACAAACATAGGGAAATGTTAAAAGAGCATGGTCTAAATCAGCCGTTCAATCACCGGCAGCCCTATCAGGTCAGCAGACCCATGTTATCGAGGGATTCAATCAACGGACCACGCTTACGGTCTTAGCTACCCAAACTTCTTTTAAGTGTGCCCGATAACAACTAGTCGATCGACCGAATTTGTCTAGATAGGAGCGATCGCTCGCAACCGGCCGTCATGGTCAACGAACTAAAATGCATTGATCCGCTAATGACCATTCTATTACACTTAAATGACATCACGGACCTTGTATTAATTTATTTTCATAACCATTCACTCATTTCTGTAAATTTACAAAAAACACCCTCTATAAATAAAAGGTCCAAGGATGAATAAATGAATTTTTCACCCGACTCCTCTCTCAAGTATTTTTTGTGGGCTCTAATCCTTCTCTCTAACTCTCTTTCTACCGGCTCCAATTCTCGTGACGTGTTTTATTTATAGTGTAGTTTAAGATTCAACATCCTAAAAGGTGGTACGGTGAATGTGGACATGCCCCAGACAAGAAAGGGAGCAAATTATGAAGGAGAAACTTCACAAAGAATGTAGCTTCCAAGGAATTCAATAGAAGAAATTATCGAGCTCATGAAACGATTCGTCGAGCAATGAAAAGTGTCACACAAAACATCATTTCACATTTAATTACATATTGTTTTACTATAAATGACATTATTACTGATCTCAAACAAAGTATTTTATAAATGGGCCTTCCAAGGCCTCGATCGGAGCATACCCCTTCCGAGTGAACCTTCGGTGGACCAACTCTCTGCATAACCTAAGTTGATCTAATTGGTTGACATCACATTATAATGTACTCAGGACGGTAAACTCATGGAGTGCTTCCAACTTGCACAACTCCATTGCTAGCTCACTTTTCAAAGTGGTGACTTCCATTCCCAGGGTAGCCACCTCTATATAAATAGTCACCATGAGGGTCGACAATTCCTGTATAAGATCATGAGCAAAAACTACAACCGCTCCCGCCGAAGACCCACCTATGCTCGTTCGCACTCTGCAATTTTGTAAGGAAGTTGCGACTAGTCATAATTCTTCTGTTGAACCCCTCCAAAGAGGCCAAGCAAGGTCAACTGAGTGAGACCAGCTACGAGCAAAGGATCGAGCGGTCGATGCCCTCTGACATCAACCAATGAAGGGAGAGGGGCAATTACGCTTTGCAGCCTGACTGCATCAACAAGAGTGAATTTGACAATATCCTTTTGACGGTCCGTCGTTCCCGACTCGATTGATTCATCTGCATTGATAAAATATCAAGAAAACACTAAAAACCGTCAACAACCAAAACAATTCTCACATAATTAAAAATTGGTCCATTGAAAGAATGGCCTTAGCAAATGTGTCTCCCCCTCGTAATGAGTCACCACTGTTTTTTGGCGGAGACGGCTGGAGAGGGCCAGTGACTGTCATCGGCCCCTTTGAGGCCCTCGACAACCGAGTCTTATGGGTCCTCGACAATCACACCCACGCTAACCTTAGAAGCCAGGTCTCCCTAGTGAGGCTTTTTCGGCACCTGCACCTCAGAAACTGCAGACGAGCCGACTTGAAACGCAGATTAGGGTCTCAACCGGTTTTCCTTCTTTATGACATTTTTCTACTTTACATATGCAGTGATATGATAACCCGCCATAGCCAGAAGTTCAGGGTCCACCTTACCTTGGCTCGTACGATCAACCATACTTCGACTATGTGTGGAAAATAGGTGGCAAAGAATATAAATGCCAACTCTATGATCCTTTTATAGGGCTCATTGGGCATGAATCGCAAGGGAAGTCAATTATTGAATAAATTTTCTTAATTTTGTTGCCACTATTTGTTTAACGGTTTCTCTAACCTTATCGTAACTATCACTATCAGGGAGCAGGAAAACTCTAGAAATTAATATGTATACGCTAAGTGCTAGCACGAATCTTTAAACTATCACATGACCAAGGATGACGGCTGATCAATCCAAGTGACATGCTAAAGGAGCGTGGTCTGAACCCATCGTTCAACGACTAATCGCTCTATCAGTTTGGCAGACCCACGTAGTCAAGGGATTCGATCGACGGGTCGCACTTATGGTCTCAAATACCCAAACTTCTTTCAAGGGCACTCGATGACAATATATATGTTGAATCGTAAGCTATTCTTCAAATAAAACACACATTAAGAGTTGAAGCTAGGAGGAGAGTAGGAGAGAGAGCAGAGCGAACAAAGAATTCTCGAGAGAGGAGACGAGAGAAGTGTCTTTTTATTCATCCTTGGACCTCCTATTTATTGGAAGTTTTTTATACAATTACAAAAATGAGGAAACGGTTATGAAAACTTATCTTAATGTAGTTAATGTGCTAAATTAATATATGATTCATGTTGCCATTTAATGTAATACAATGATCTTTAACAGATTGATGCATTTTAGTTCGATTGACCATGATCGATTGTGTGTTAATTGCTCTTGCCAAGGCAAAGCGATCAATAATATTTATTGATGGTGTGAGTGTGTGTTTGTGTGTGTATTCATCACCAATACACACACACACCCACCCCCCCCCCCCCCCCCACACACACACACACACACACACACACACACACCATTAATAAATATTCATCAATCCCCATTCTCGATGCATAACATGAATCTCATGTCAAATTTTTCATCAAAAAATGCTAAAACTTCGATTAGAAATCATTTGAACCTCAATTTCAATGAATTTACAGGCAAACTGACCGGCTTGTCAAGGCAAACCAATTTGAGTAAAATCAAGCCCAATTCAAGTCATAAACTACTTCTGGAAGCATTTAGTGCATAATTTGAAGTTCAAATGAATTTTGAATATGAAATGTTTATAATTAAATCAAACGTCTCAACTAGACAAATTTAAGGAACCCAAGATCGTTCAAATACATCATTATTAAGATAGTTAAATGTCTGCAAAATACTGTCGATTAAAGGGATCTCCCAAGAACGTCTAATCATAGTAGAATGGATTCTTTTTTTATTTGGACTTTATAAATAGAAGCCTACTCTTTCTTGAGAGGGGATTAGACTCAGAGCCAGAGGAAGACCAGAGTATGGGGAAGAGGGAACTAAAGTCAGGCATCATGCACCAATGATCCAACAAAACTTTCCGCTTTTGACCGTCAACCATGGCTTGCCGACCGTTGCAGACCACCATTGATCGCCATTTGTTCTTTGTAATGAAACACCATGCTAAGCAATAACAAACTCAGTAGAGTCATGAAGCGACTTACAAAACAGCGCATCATCCCAAATATCGTGTCGGCCTCGAAGAGCACAAAAGTTCCAAAATTTACAACCCAATGTGACCGCTCTCAACCGTGTGGTAATGAGTTCTTCTACGCAAGAATATCGTAGCTCGAGAAATTATATAATTCTTTTCTGCTTGTGGGACAAGAGACTGTACTTGTAATCATCAACTTATAGTAAAAACGTTTCAACTAAACAGACCCCATGATTTTTTCTCTTTTAGAATTTTACATATAAAAAATTTTGGTTTCTTTACTAATTATCTATTTTTATTTGACTGTATTACATTTTCGTACAATGCTAAGATAATAATTTGCTACTCTATTGCAGTGACTCTTTTAGAGCATGCTTGCGCGCCACACACACACACACACACACACACACACACACACACACACACACACACACACACACACACACACACACACACACACACACACACACACACACACACACACACATATATATATAGCTCTTTTTTAATATTTCTTGTAATTTTGAAATTTTTATAATTATAATTGAAAAGTGAGAAAAGCATATCCTTAGAAGCAAAGATATATAGGCAAACAATGGCCAAAACTTGAAATAATATATATATGTAAAATATAGGAATTTGGTGCTATGTATAATACATGTAAATGCCTAAAAAACAATTACGGATTACAAATAATGTTTCCGTGAAATTTTTTATTAAGCAGAACGGGCATGAAAATTCCAAACTGCGGTGGCCGGCAATTGCCCTTAGAAATTACGTAATCGACTCCGTGCTCTTCCACACGACGACTGCTTCTCAATCTTCATCCTCAGTCGGCACTCATCCGTCCTACCACGTAATAGCAGATCAAAGAGCGCGTGGCCTCTCTCCAATATTTTTCCTTTCTCCAACTCTTCCATCTCTCACCCCGTCTTGGATCATTTCGCCGTCTCCTCAGATCTGCGATCGATCGTCGCCTGATAGGCCGATCTCTTACTTGCGCGCATAGAATTGCAGATATCACGGTCGGAGTTTGAGATTTTAATCGATTTCACCTCCCTTACTAGATCTCATCAGGCGTTTGTGATTGTATAGTTTGCCATCTTTCCTTTCGAATCGTTGCATCCGGAATCCGAAGATTTGATAACGGCGGAGGTAAGAAATTTTTGCATCGGTAAGTTGTGTCGGTGAATCGATGGTGGATTGCCGAAGCCTGATCGAGTTCTGCCGGGCTTTCGAGGAGCATCGGCAGACGGCGAACTTACAGGCTTCACTGGACAGTCGGAATTGTCTATCTAGTGCCCGGAATAGAAGGTTCAAATCTTTGAACCCCCTCTCACATCCTTTCTGCGAGCAGTCCCCTCAAGCAGCCATGGACGTCTTCATGCTTATACTTGTTCTCGGCTCGATCGGTGTTTTAACTGTGCCCTGTTTCAAACTAATTTACGATGAAGCTTCTGAGATGTTCCCTGTGGCGGTTGACCTTATGGGCGAGGTCGTCTGTCTTACCTACATAGCCTACGCTACTGGTTTTGTCCTGATGGTGGTCACAGGCATTGCTCTTTGGGAGATCATCAATCAACAGCTTAGGAAGTGCGGGAATCCAAATTGTAGGGGGCTCAGGAAAGCGGTAGAGTTTGATATCCAGCTTGAATCTGAAGAGTGTGTGAGGTTCATGCCGCCCTTGCCGAAGGATGCATTTGGCAATCAAACACTGGGGCTGGGACAGGATCACAAGGAGTTGGAAGCTGAATTAAAGAAGATGGCGCCTCTGAATGGCCGCACTGTTCTCATCTTTCGCTCACCCTGTGGATGCCCAGCAGGCAGAATGGAAGTTTGGGGGCAAAAGAAAGTCCGGCGTATCAAGAAGTAGACTTCGACAATACCTTTTCTGTTTTAGCAATTTAGTTCTTTATATACTAATAAGTTATATACCCTAAAGAATAACGATAGTAATTAATCTATGTTCACCATTACTAATGGTAGTGCTCTGCCTGCTCCTAGGACAGAGCTCATGTTACTGGGAATATGGGCTCCCTATGTTACTTCACATGTACAAGAACAACATTTATTATATTTTCAATTACTTTTTTATGTTATTTAACTTAAACTTGCTTTCTGGAATCCTCTCATTCATTAATTCAACAAAAAGTAAAGCTGTTGTAAATGTAAATATCTCTTTGAGGGTGGCAGAGTTATTCTGATGCATTTCCTGTTGAGTGTGATTCTTATACACTGTTTTTCTTCTTATTAAAAATTAATTTCTTTTAGGTAGGTAGTGATGATGTAAGAAGTTTGAATTTTTCTAAATAGCAGCCTTTATATTGAATGGAAAAAATTGTATGCTTGATACAGGCCAATTGGTCAGCATCATACATCTAATGCATCACCTATAATGACATCAGCTAAAGCATAAAGTGGTAGATTGCATTTTGTGTTTGAGTTTCTTTTTGCCTATGAAGGAAAACTTGCTACACATAATTCATGGCGGGGTGTCGTTTATATTAAAGTCACTATGGGGCTTGATGCGTAACACTTCACTTTCAAAGTCATAGTGAAATCTATAGTGGCTGCAAGATGACCTAGTCATCAATCGAGTTGTATAAAATCCTATGTTCATCTGCATTTATTTTTTTTGTATTTCATTTATTTTTCATTCTTTGTGTTTACTATGTTAAAAAAAGGCAAATGTAGACCTAGGAAGACTTGGGCTTATTGTATAAAAAATAATCTTAATTTATTAGAACTAAATGAAAATATGACATTAAATAATATGACATTAAAATAATCTTAATTTATTAGAACTAAATGAAAATATAATGGAGAAAAAAGATTCATGCAGAAAAAAGATTCATGCAGCCGATCCCACGTAGTGGGATTAAGGCTTTGTTGTTGTTGTTGTTATGTTTGAACTAAGTTTTATATATTTCCCAACAAATGTAGGTTTCTAATGCATATGAAAATAAGGATGGGTTTCATGAAAAAAATGGCGGAAGATTTACATACTTACAACTTAATGCCTATGTATTTACATATCAAACACCTAAACTTCAATTTGTACATATATGTCACCTTACCTATGCATTATTTTACTTTTTAAAAGTTAAAATAATGGTATTTTTTATTTGATATGAAATATTTGGGTGTTATAAATGTAAAAGATAGAGTTTTGGTGTTATATATATAAATACATAGGAATTGGTGGTATGCATGTAAATGCCAATAAATGGGGTAAAGGTTTAGTCAATTTCAACTAAGGTATCTACTAAGCAAACAAACAAATGATCCGCCTTCTTGTTATTGTGCATATAATCTTTACACATTTACATTTAGAGCTGGGGAAAAAAATTAATGAGTAGTAGAGAGAAATTTTTTTTTGAAAGCTTTACAACCCTAAAACTTCTTTAGAGATGGGGGAAAAAATAGAGTGAAATACCTAATTATTTATAGCACATAATTGACCTTTGAAATTTTTGAAAATGCCTTTAATTAGATTAAAGATCATCATTTATTTTTTATCTACATTATTTTTAATCATTTTACATGAAATCCATCTATTTTCCTTAATTATACATCTTCTAAGTGTTATTTATCCCTGATATGTTTTAATTATACAGCTTCTAAGGGTTATTTATCCCTGGTATGTTTTTAGAGGTCTGTTGATTTACATTGTTTTGCTTTTGTATTGTGTGGAATTTAGGAAGAACTTTCTTAGAGGAAAAAACTCTCTAATTTTATCATTAAGCAAATACAGATATATACAACTCAGACTAACCCTAATAAAATTTTAGGGAAATTCAAATTATCATAATAAAAGAAAGAAATGTAACACACAATAATGAATGATTAAGGAAGAATAATTTTTCCCCCTCAAATGTAGCAGCAAACCCATAATTTTCAAAATCCTGGGTGGGCCCATGTGGTCCATATGATTATATGCATATCAACACTTTCTCTCAAGTTGGGTTGTATATATCATATATTCTAAACTTATTGCCGAAGGAGAACCTTGGTAAGAATTTTACTAATTTGATATTGAGTTGGGATGTATCATAGTTGTACAACCTCTCAATTGACCTTCTCAAAGATGAAGTGCCTGTCAATCTCTATGTATTTGGATCGATTATGATGTACTTGATTCTTTGAAATACTGATGGTTGATTGACTATCACTGAACATCATATTAATGCTTTTGTTCTCCATGTGTAGTTCCACCAGTAATTTTCTTAGTCTCATTCCTTTACAAATTCCTAGGGCCAGTGCACAATACTCAGATTCTGCACTACTTCTTGCTATCATAACTTGCTTTTTACTTCTCTAAGTAACCATACTATACAAATGAATAATAACTCATGGTAGATCTTCTTTCAATCAGATTTCCTGCCCAACTAGCATTCGTGTAGATCTTAATGGTGCGACTAGTTTTTTTTATTATTAATCCACGCTCTGCAGTCATCTTTAGGTACCCCATAATTTGAAAGACTAATTTTAAATGACCTTCATTTGGATTGTTTATATGTTGGCTTACTACATACATAGAAAAAACAGTGTCAAGTCTTATATGTGAAAAATAAATAAGTTTTCTCAAAAGCCTTTGATATCTCTCCTTTTCAATTGAGATGTTATCCTCTCTTTTTGATGACCATCGATTGAGATCCGTAGGATTATTTGTTGGTTGGCACCTCAATATTCTTGTCGCCTTTAATAAGTTAAATATATTTTTTCTGAGATATAACAATGCCTTGGTTGGATTTAGCTACTTTCATTCCTAGGAAATATCTTAAATTTTCAAAATCTTTGATCTGAAACTCGGAAGTCATTATATTTTTTATTGTTTCGAGTTCCCTTACGCCATATCCTGTAAGAATAATGTCATTTACATATACAATAAGGATAACTATCATATATTTTTGATTTGTTTTCATTAACAAACTGTGATCATAATACTCATCGACAAAAATAGTCTTAATGAACCTCTTAAGCCATGCTTTGGAAGATTGCTTCAACCTCTTTAGTTTGCACACTGACTGATTATTTGTGCTGTTCTTTATTCCGGGAAATATTTTCATATGTAGTCCTCAAGTGCCCCATTAAGAAATACATTTTTGATGCATTATTGACAACCAATAAAAAATAATACTCTTACTGTGTTGAGTTTCCCCATTGGTACAAATGTTTCCTGGTAGTTGATTTCAGAGGACTAAGTGAATGTTTTTACTACGAGTCTAGCCTTGAACCTTTTCATGCTTTCATCTGCTTTGTATTTAACACTAATTACCCATTTGCAAACCACAACACTTTTCCTAGGTGACAGAGTTGTTGTGATCCAGGTATTATTCATTTTAAGTGCAAGATTCTCCTTTTCACATTTTCCAAGCATGAATAAATAAGGTCTCTTGGATCACATTTGGGACTATACATTATCCAAGTTTCGAACAAAAGATTTGTAAAAGGATGATAATAGGATGATAATTTTTCATAGGTTCACAAATTTTTCTATTGGGTGTTTTGTGCATTCTTATGCTCTTCCTTGGTTTTGGTTCTCATGTGTGTATGAATACTTGGGGTATGTAGAGTTTGTTCCGATGATCAACATTCTTGATTTTTCATATTGTCCCTTATATACTTAGTTTTTTTCTTTCTAGTGTACGCATAAAGTTATTGGTTCTTAGTGGGAGTTGTAAAAGGATTTATGGAGTAATAGGTTCATTTTAAAATTGATTTGTGATAGTGGGACAAGAGCGGGTTCAACACGGATACAAAGGAGCTCAATTTGATATTATCTCCAACTCTCACCCTGAATGTCATATTTAGAGTAATTTGATTGGTTTTCAAATAAGGTGACATCCATGGAGTTGTATACATTTTTTTGTTTCTAGAGAATAACATTTATACTCTTTTTTGTTTGAAGGGTAACTCACAAAGATGCATTTGATTGACCTCGATCAGGTTAGGTCTAGTTAGTTGATGTTGATGAAAGTTGATGCAACTAAAATTTTTGGTGTTAGGTTAGAGATGAAAGACTGATGTGGAGGTAGCATTTTATGAGTGTGTTGAGAGGTTTATTAAAGTTCAACACTATGCTGGGCATCTTATTTATGAGATAAGTGGATTTGTGATTGAATGTGTGGGGTAAGATTTTATGTGTATGTTGAGAGGCTTATTAAAGTTTAGCACTTTGCTCGGTATCCTATTTATGAATTAAGTGGATGTGAGAATTGCATCTCGAAATTATTTGGGTACATTGTTAGTGAATAGAATTAAATAGGTCATATCAAAGAGAGATTTGTTCTTTTTCTCAGCCACACCATTTTGCAGGGGGTATGTCAATACGAGCTTATATGAATTATGTCATTTTTGGATAGATAAGTGTCGAGAGTGGAGTTGTTGTAGTATTTTTTATTATGGTTTTGAGAATCTAAATTTTGCTTTGAAATTGGGTGATGATCATGTTGTGGAAGGTTTGAAATATGCTGACAGTTTTAAATTTTTTCTTCATGAGAAAGGTCAAAGTGGTACTAGTGTGATCATCAATGAACGTGACAAATCATTTAGCCCCATTTATATTTTTTATTTTTGAGTGCTCTTAGATATCACTATGAATCATGGAGAAGGGATGTGCTAGTTTGTATTTCAGACTTAGGTTTACTTTTCAAATATGTTTAGCGAGTTAACAAGTTTCTCACTTATAAGAACTAGACTTTTTATTGATAAATAAGTATGGATACAAAAAAATTAGGATGCCCAAGGTAAAAATGTCATAATAGAACTTGACTCTCATGAGAAATAAACTTAGATACAAAAATTGACTTAAAGGATTATGAATGCTGGGACAGTCTTTTTAAAGTGGGAGTTCAGTGAGCAGATAA